AAAGGTTACTACAGTCTTTAAGTTAATCAAATCAGGGCGTCTTCCGGCACCCCCACAGGGTGCTTTTTGGCACCCCGGGCCTCCCTAAGGTACCTACGTTCAAAAGAATATGAATACGTTGGGTACTATAGTCGTTTACTAAGTTGAATCAGGTGGTTACGCCGCACGTCGTCTTGGTGCGATTTAGCGCCCCGGGCTAGACTGGACACTTTGAGTTTATCTTTGCGTTTGTGTTTTCGTTGTGTTTGAGTTTGGGTTTGTGGTTGTGTTTGCGTTTGGATTTGGGTTTGGATTTGTTTTCGTTTGCTTTTTTTCTTTGCGTTTGTATTTTTGTTTGCTTTTTTCTTTGCGTTTGTGTTTTCTTTGTGTTTGTGGTTGTGTTTGTGTTTGTTTTTTATGTTTTCGTTTGTATTTGTGTTATGTTTGCGTTGTTTTTTTTTGGTGCGTTTTGGTTTTTTTGGTTGTGGTTGGGTTTGTGTTTGCGTTTGGAATTGTTTTCGTTTGCTTTTTTGTTTGCGTTAGTGTTTGTGTTTTCTTTGTGTTTGTGGTTGGGTTTGTCTTTGCGTTTGTTTTTGTGTTTTCGTTTGTGTTTGTTTTGTGTTAGTGTTATGTTTTCGTTTTGTTGTGTGTTTTGGTGGTTGTGGTTAGGGTAAGCAATGCCGGGTAAATGCTGATTACTAAACACACAAGTTATGCTCCTTGACAGATACGTTTTTCAGAGATGCCAGTGCAGGGCCTGGCCGGACGGCTAGTATTATATATTTTTGACGAGACTACTGCAACCAATTTTAGTTAGATAAATATTGTCACTGTATGGACGTTGTTTGGGAGCTCCTGATTTAACAGTGAAAAAAATGTTGATAAAACATTAGTTGTAACAATCGCAGAAAGACTGTAAAAATTTATTATTTATATCAGTCAAGTACCTACCTTTGCCACGATATATGGGTACGATAGATCGAGTTCTAATCTGTGGAACAATCTTCTTAATAAAATAAGCTATCTTTATCTGAAAATATATTCAAAACTAAACTAAAAAAAACAACTATTTAATTACCTTAACTGACTTACATTTCTCATTTATCTATAATGGTCTCATTCTATCCCATTATATATTAGAACTATGTACTATTATTTCCCATTACATATTTTAAATGATATATTACTGCCATGTCTTTTTTATTAAAATGTTAAGTTGTTTTTTTTTTAAAATAAAAACGGCGAATTAGAAAAAAGGCATATTGTTGCTACCGTTATTAAATAAAGCTATTAAGTTAATAAATAAAATTGGCTGTAGGAATAATAAAGAATAGTACACAATAATAGAAGTCTCTTAGAACTGCTACTTTATAATTATTACATAATAATTTTAATCGTTCCAGGTATCGATCTACTCTTAACCAACAACATGGTATGGTTATTTTTAATGCATTAAATTTTACGTTTCCTTTCCTCATGCTATTATCTTTTTGGAGTAACTACAAATTCGTAGATGTAGCTGTTGTGCTTGACCTAATCTTTAGTAATTTTTAAAAAATGCAATTACCTTTATATGACGTAAAAGTAGCATGACTTTTAGAACTCGTTATCGATTTAACAGAATTGCATTTGTCTCTCTAGTTGAAATTGATAATTTGGAAATATACGAGTTGGAAAAAATGAACAAAAGCGGTAAATACATTTTTTTCTATTTTTTATGAAACGTCATACACACACAGCATATATATATATATATATATATATATATATATATATATATATATATATATATATATATATATATATATATATATATATATAGGGAGCCGGACGTTTTCCCGAAAGACACTTGCCCGAATGCCGTTTGCCCGAAGGCCGATTTCCCGAATGGACACTTGCCCGAATGCGACAAATGCCCGAATGGACACTTGCCCGAATGCGACAAACGCCCGAATGGACACTTGCCCGAATGCGACAAACGCCCGAATGGACACTTGCCCGAATGCGACAAATACCCGAATGGACACTTGCCCGAATGGGACAAATGCCCGAATGGACACTTGCCCGAATGCGACAAATGCCCGAATGCCACTTGCCCGAAGGCCGTTTGCCCGAAAAATGTTAATATTAGATAATAAATAATATTTCCAAATAGACATTCTTTAATCAATTTAAGTTTGAATTTTTTTTTATTAAAAACACAATTCTAAGCATAAAACAAAGTTGTTTATACTTTTAAATTTATCTTCTTTTTTCAAAACTGAGAAAGTGCTGTAAGAAAAACTTTATTCTTTAATAAATGTAAGGTGATGTTGGCGGCGGTGTTCTAACATTCTTTTGATTTAAGTTTTGAACACCTTGTTTAGCCGACTTGTTGCGGTGGTTATATAGCTTTTATGACACGGCGTAGGCGGCGCGGCGTCTCGCAACATTGAACAGAGGCGCGTTTGATTCTCTTTGTTTGATTTATCTTGTTATGCTTAACTTGTGTGGTGATCATTTAACAAAAGAATGAGGCGAGGTCTAGGTGGCGATGTTTAAAACTAAACGTAGCCAAATATGTTTGATCTCATTTAATGCGCCTTGTTAAGACAATGTGTTGAAGCGATTACTTAATAAAGAAAGCAAAATTCATTTTAAATTCCGGAGATGAATGAAAATTGTATTTTTGTCTAATTTCATATATGCAAGAGAAAGTATGTTTCTACACTTTTTAAATATTAAATACAAATTAATTTTAAAAGTCTGCGTGGTAATATATAATATTATTTTTTCACTTTCTTTTTGTGCAGATGTGTTTTGTTTACTAACATTTTAAATTTAAATTGATTACAAATGATTATTTAGTAATATATAATGTTAACATTTTTCGGGCAAACGGCCTTCGGGCAAGTGGCATTCGGGCATTTGTCGCATTCGGGCAAGTGTCCATTCGGGCATTTGTCGCATTCGGGCAAGTGTCCATTCGGGCGTTTGTCGCATTCGGGCAAGTGTCCATTCGGGCATTTGTCGCATTCGGGCAAGTGTCCATTCGGGAAATCGGCCTTCGGGCAAACGGCATTCGGGCAAGTGTCTTTCGGGAATTTGTCGTAGACCCATATATATATATATATATATATATATATATATATATATATATATATATATATATATATATATATATATAAAGGGTCATCAATAAATGACGTCACGCCTTTTTTGACGATTTTTACCCCCCCCCCCCTCCCCTCCGTCACATGTCGTCACAAAAAGCCAGCCCCCCCCCCCCTTAAAATGACGTCACAACTCAGCCTACAACCCTACTCGAAATTGCAGTTTAATTTTTTTAAACAGATATAGACTACTTTTCCAAATTCTTGTCTGAACTCGGTCAAAAAAGAGTATTTTAATCAATTGTTATTACAATTTATTAAAACAGTTTTCTAAAACGCCAAATTACGTCTAAAATTCGTTTTCTAACATTTTTTTTATAATGCAAAAGTGTGACGTCGCACCATCTGAAGCCCCCCCCCCCCTGCCCCTCATCACACACCGTCACAAAATTACGGACCCCCCTCCCCACTACGAGTGTGACGTCATTTATGGACGACCCCATGTATATATATATATATATATATATATATATATATATATATATATAATATATATATATATACATATATATATACAAATATATATATATATATATATATATATATATATATATATATATATATATATATATATATATAGAGAGAGAGAGAGAGAGAGAGAGAGAGAGAGAGAGAGAGAGAGAGAGAGAGAGAGAGAGACCGACGGTTACATAATAGTTAATTAATATTTTCTGAAAGATGTTAACGCTTTACAGTTGATGATAGTGATAGTGATGATGTGGTTGAACCTTTGTACTGTGCAATCGGTTACACTGAAACAAAGTGAGTTTTACTTTTTCAGTCATTAATTATCTGATCTCTCACATTTAATTTTAATAGAAGGGATTTTATGTAAAGTTGTGCCCATGTAGAAGTATGTTAAAATTAATACAACATTAAACTTTTTATATGTATTTGTTCTGTTACAGACCTATATTATTTATGAATATATAGCGAAATCCAATGGTGTTAATTATTTGTTTTGATGTTTAATGAAGTCATTTAATGTCTTACACTCTTAAAATAAAAATAATGTCATTTACATATTTTTTGTTTCAGGGAAAATAATTTCAAAAGTATTTTATGAAGCGGAGATAACTTTGTTACTTTAAAAGGTGCATTAAACTATGCATTTTCTAATAATCCGTGGAAATTTTATAGACTTTAAACGCTAATAGTATTTAAAGTGTTTATTGTTTTATAATGTTTGTATTATCCTTTCATTATTAACAAATTACCATAAATGATAACGTCAATGTTATAAAACAATAAGTGTATATCCCGTTATTAAATGTGTGTAGATATATATTATGCATTTTTTAAAAAAAAAGATCCTTTCATGAGGATGTAAAAAATGTCTTAAGAGCAGAAATCAAATTAAATCATTCAATTGAGTTTCGTTGTGTTAGTTGTTGATACTTTGACCTTTCTGTTTCTGTTCTGTTTGTATATCTATTTTTAAAGGCCTACAGTTTCGGTCTATAACTTGGGCTACACAGCTCAGGAAATTACTTTGAGGGGGAATTTATTTATGATTTTATTTGAAAAACAATTGGTTAATTAGAATAGCCTATAGCTTACAAACTAAACGAAAATGTTCTCTACTGGTTTCTTTAACACGTCTTCCGTTTAAACAGGAAATTCCCGATGTGACCAATCGAAACTGATATAGATCTAGATCTATTGGAAATTAAGGAGTTTATTTTAATTTTCCTAGCCTACAGTTGTTTTTTTTTTGTTCATACTTCTTTTAGGCCGACTGCTCCTAACAAAAGGACAACATAGAAGCCATTAAAAATATTTAGGCCTATACTAATGAGTACTCCCCCCCCCCCCCCCCCCCCCAGGAAGTTTCAATAATAGTCCTTCACCTTCAACAAAATATTTTATCAGGAAACAGACAGCGGACAGCTCTACCAATAAATCATAATGGTAATACTAAGGTAAACAGCTTTCATTCAGAAATATTAAGTTTTTCTTTTCTTAATATTTCTAACGACTAAAATGTAAAATGTAAAGCTAAATTTAGATCTAAATGTTCCGTAAAAAAAAAGGTTCACTTTATTCTATTGGTTTGCGATATTACAATGTGAATATTTCTAGTTCGTCTCGTTACCAAAACTGGAAGTCAGAACTTGACCTGAAACGTCACGCTCCGTTTTTTTTTCGTCTTTTAATTTTTAATGAAAACACTGCTAATCTCGCAAAATCTCATCATTATTTTAATGCGAGATGCTAAGGAAATGGATACTATGCCTTAAAATGCCAGAAAAATTTTCACTCTCAGGAAAAACTGAACTGCAACGAAAAACGACCGACCACCGGACAAAAGCGCCCAACAGATCCTAGATTAATATATATTTGAGATATTTACCATGATTAATTACATTAATGCTGTTTACATTTTCCAAAAGCCAATTCTCCCATGAGTAACCATGTGACTATTTTTTCTCTGCTATTTTTAGTAACGTTACGTTATGGTTACGCTAGTTGTCAGATAGAAAAGACTAATTTTTATTTTTTGCGGAATGAACTGTTAAGTCTAGCATTTTAATTATAATTCAGTTGTAGCATCTGCAGAAAATGTAAAATTGTGGACATTGTTATTGTATTAAAGTATTAATAATTTTATCATAGTATATTGTTTTTTTTTCTTTACTGCAAGTATATATATATATATATATATATATATATATATATATATATATATATATATATATATATATATATATATATATATATATATATATATATATACACACACACAAACAAAAAGTATGAACATAGGCAACTTAATTCTGGCCTGATCGGGTTTTGAACAAAAAAAACAAATTCTGTTTTTTTAATTATAACAAATTACAACATATCATTTGTGTGAGTGCATTAGTTTGTTTTGAAAATATCTATTTTATGTTTGCCATGATATATCTTAACCTCAAGTCTGTCAAAAGAATATAAAACATCAAAGCTTTGTATATGTAATGGTTTCTCCTGTTATGACTTATGTTTATTTTTATGTCTTTTTGTATTTACATTATTAATTTTAAATACATTTCCTTTTTTTTAATATGTCATTCTTAAGAATGTATTTTTAAAAAAATTAATTAAGAGAAGTAATTGCTTTTTAATTGTTTAGTACAAATCTATTAAAAGGAGCTTATGATCACCTCTAAATGCTTATTTAAAAAAGGGAAATAAGTCATGGAAGTAGTTTAAACGTTTGCCTATCTTTCATAATACTTTAAAAACAAAGGGAAATTATAATTATATAAGAGCATTGGATGGTGTCTATACAATAAAGATAATCCATCCGCAGCTGCAGTATTCTTTTAACAAAACAACAATCAAGTCAAAAATTAAGGAAAATTGAATTTAAAAAAAATTGTTTATGGTCGGCTGTGGGCCCCTAAACAGCGTGCTCCCCCCCCTGCATTGTAAGGTCTGGCGGCAATGTAGTTCCGCCCATGGGCCGACTGCACTGTTTGTTTCATTGAACATAATTCGTGACGAGCCATTAACCTTGTAAATACTAAATATTTAAATTTATTACTGAAAAGTTTAAATATGATTGTTTGAAAACAGGTACATTAATTAAACTTTGAAACATGTTTGTAACTTTCAAAACATAAATCACCCAACAATGTGAAATAATTACTAAAATTTAACGAGTCACCTTTTTTTTCACATTACTAGTCTCGGCCGATTTTACGTACCTAATATATAATTTAAAAAGCTCAGTTCTGTATCAGTGTATGTGGTGACGGACATGTGGATGACATGCATACAGTAAAAACTTGACCTGATTGGCGTAGTGTAATATTCTTAAAGTATTTATTAACTAAATTAATGATTATAAAAATTAATGGTTTTGTACAATATGTTTCATTTTCCAAACTTATCATTTTAATTAACTTAATGTGGAATAAACAAAATCAAAGAAAATGTATCACCCTTCACAAAGATTCTAATTCTGTCTGAAAATTATTTCTCTTAGTCCCTTAGAAACAATTATTTTACTAGATAGATCACCAATCTTTCCATTTGCAGATAAGATGGAGAATTATAGCCGTTCATTAAATTGAATCAGACGTGTCCGCTGGCACCCCGGCAGGGTACTATTTGCGCACCAGGCTATCCTGTTAGTGCTATGCTGCATACATTCATTTTAAAGAGTGCAATAAGCTGTGAATAAAAAGGGCTACTTACTATAGTCTTTCATGAAATCGAATCGAGGACATCCTCCCGCGCCCTAACAGGGTGCTATTTGGCATCCTCTACCTTCGTGTGAGCTATATTCGTTGTGAGTGCAATAGACTACGGATAAGTTGAGGTTTTTTACTAAGTTCAATCAGGCGATTTTGCACCCCGGGTTATATTGTAAGCACTATGCTTTTATGTTTGCATTTTTAAGTTTGTGTTCTGCGTTGTTTGCCTTTAGGTTTTTGTTGTGTTTGACTTTGTGTTTCTGTTGTCGTTTGTGTCGGCGTTGGTGTTACACTTCTGTTTGAGTTTTGTTTTTTTTTTTTGCATTTGGGTTTGCATTTGTTATGTTTGCATGGTTTTTTTTTTGTGGTTGTTTTTTTGGTTGGTTGTGGTTAGGGTTAATTAGAAAAATAATATATTTCCTAAACCCAGACAAGTCATGGTCCTTTAGTATTTTTTACAGAGGCCACAAGGCCTGGCCGTCTGCTAGTATATATATTTATATGTATATATATGTGTGTGTGTGTATGTCGGCCTACATGTGCCTAAACTTTAAATATATGCAACATACAAGTACATGTAGCCTATGTGTGTGAATAAGCTTTAATCACTGCAGACTTAATAGTAACAATGTTTATGTACAGTCTGTTAATAATACAGTTGGATGTAGCATTGTTTTATGTATAGTTTGCACTTTTACGTCATGGAGTCACCCTGACCCCACATGTAATAATTGTAAAAGTAAATTGTGACATATTCATTTGTGCCAAATATAATAGAAAATTGTATAATAAACCAAAAGCAATATCTAAATAAAATAGTCAATATATCAATATAGGTGCGAAATAACTTTATTCAGCAGTGTTCTCAAGCAAGACTTGCTATGTAAATAATGTCCATCTGTAAATTAGAGTGGTTTCCCCTGAAACTCAAATTATAATTTCACTAAAAAGAAACTTAAATATTGTTTAAGATGGCTGCTAAACAAAAAAAATGAGCTTGGTTACATATGATGAAAACATCGCTAATTTTTATTTAGATCTAGATCTAGTCTATTACTGAAAAGTTTTAATGCAATTGTTTAAAAATAAAAAGAGGTAGGCCTACATGATTGTAACTGTTAAAACATAAATCCTTCTAAAAATGGTAAAAGAATTACTAAAATTTAGGCCTAACGAGTCACCTTTTGATAATCTATCGTTTTAAGTACGTAAAATCGCCCGCGACTTGTAATGTGAAAAACAGGTGACTCCTTAAATTTTAATAATTATTTCACATTTTGAGGAGGATTTATGTTTTTTAAAATACAAAAATGTTTCATTTATGTATCTGTTTTTAAACAATTGAATTAAAACTTTTTCGTAATAAATGAAGACTTGCAATGTTTCCAACAGATGCAACCATGCTCATTTACTATAGCATCCATCTTGTTTAAGTTTTATTTTTATAAGCTTATAGCGCGAGATTCAGGGGGAAGCCACTCTATTTTACAAATGGCTGCTGTTTATATAATATAGCAAATCTTGCTCTTAGACACTGCTGTTTAAACTTAATTTCTGGCCTATATCGATATATTTTGCCATTGATTTAGGTTTATTATTCATTTATCTATAATATTTGACACAAACATATGACAATACACTTCTATTAAAGCCTTGACAATGAGGTAACGTTTTTGTATATTAATAGCCGCCGGCGATTTTACGTACCAAAAACGATAGATTACCCACCTTTTTTCACATTACTGAAGTATTTATTTAAAATTATTTTATTATAATTATTAGTATCTATTTTCTGTTCTACACTCAACTGTTAGTCTTTTAGATCTAGAAATCTAGGCCTAAATTCTAAATTTAAAAGTTTTCAATCTAAATTAATATCGCCAATCGCTAAGCAAGCTCATCGTGCATGATTAGAAATTAGGCATATTGGGAAATTTTTCCTAATTATCATAGAATGATAAAATGGACACATATTAATCCTATAATTATCACTAAGCCTACTAAGACTAGATGCTACAAGTAGTAAGACTAACAATGTGTTTACACTTGCGATTTGTACACTTGACTATACATGTCTAGAAAAAAAAACTTGGAAATTAGTGAGTAGTCGTCGTCCCTCGCCCCCCTCAAATCTGTTAATATAAAATTAACTTATGGTGAAGTGGTGTTCAAAGGCGATATATTGGGCAGCTTTTTTGTTCTACGCAAATGCAATAAAGTTGATCTATCTTGGCAGTATTGCAGGCAGTTTTGAAGAAGGTGGTATTCTAAGTTGACACTAAAGAGGGGGAAATTGATTAATCATCATTATGTCTGGCGACTGAAAAATCGGAATTTTAACTGTATAAATCTAACATCTTTGTTGTCTACATCAAAATTTAATTTATTGTAAATCAGGTGGGGGTAAGATGCAAGACAAAAATGTCTTGTGACCGGTGTTTTTCGCACCTTTCTTGAAATTTTCCGTCCTGCGGTTAATGAAAATGTTTGTTCAATTGTCTTTGTTATATCTCATTTGCAACACAGAAGACATTTTTCTGTTCATTTACTAGCTACACAGTGGATAGTAATAACTAAGTCCATGTATTTTCTGATATAAACAAGGGTAGTCAAGTTATATATCAAATTTTATTGCCAAGTAAAATTTGCTCTGTTACAGTTACAGATGTGTTACAGCACATATATATATATCTATATCTATATCTATATCTATATATCTATATATCTATATATATATATATATATATATATATATATATATATATATATATATATATATATATATATATATATATATATATATATATATATATATATATTATATATATATATATATATATATAATTATTATTTATAAATATCTAATTCAAATAAAGAATTTATGAGGAAAATTTCTACAAGAAATTGTGTCTTCCTATGAATGTTAAAAATATTAATTAACCTGACAGCATGGGGCCTATACTATGACAAATTAAGACTTTTTGTTATGTTAGTGTAACTAAAAAACAAAAGGTGCCATATTTTCAATGAAAATAGGTTTATCGAAGATTATGTAGCAAACAATGGTAAGATTATATGAAGAAAACTGATATTAAATTAATAATCAAACTTGTAATATTTTTTAATGATGTGTTTAGAAAAAGAAGTTAATTGCTCCAAACAATAATTTTTTTGGCAGTAAAAAAATATGCAAAACTGATAATAGCCCAAAATTGTGTTCAAGTACTCGGGCAGATGAGGCTCGTTAGCTGGGGACAGCCACTCTTCTCGGAGAGACAACTCCAAAATCAAACAACTGCTGCCTTGTAGTTTGTTCTTGGTTGGACAAAGGCTATGGAAGCAAATCCAAAAAGAAAAGCAGGCTGAAATCGGAGTCAATGGCCTCAATGGTGCATAACCTGTTGACACGTAATCCTTAATTGACAATTGTGATGGAAGCATGGTCGAGTCGGCAAAAGCTCATGGTTGATAAATTCGAAAAAAGTCTCGAGTTCAAACCCTCTGGCAGATAAGGCTCGATCCCTCCCACCACTAAAAATTAAGAACGAAGAAGAGGAAGAAGAAGAAGTGTTCAAGTAGGTGCAGTGCCAGCGGCAGGATATTTTGCTGCCAAACCTTTATGTTATTTTGTGTGCACGATTACAATACTTCCTCAATACTCTGTATACGAGAAAGTAAAAAGGCAAAGTGTCTGTTAAAGAGTTTCTTCCAGGCATCTCTTAGGGGAGGGGACTGTCTACCACCCCCCGAACAAAATGGAATTTATATATAAAATATATACTTTTAACAGTGCCCCTCTCCGTCATTCCACCCCCCTTGAAATTTTTGTCAGTCTCCCCCCCCCCGCAAAAAAAATTTCAAGTGTCCCTCCTCTCCTGGAGAAGAAAGTCTGGAAGAAACACATTTTCAAATAAGGGCGCATTTTCACCAACGCGAAAACTTATATATATAGGTCTAATTTGCTGATGTGGGACGGAGTGGTCTAGCAGTAGAGAGCTGGACTGCTAAACCGTAAGTCTTGAGTTCGAATCCGGGTTTGTCCCTGAGTCCAACCAACTCAATGGGTACCTGACTCAGGGAAAGTAATGGCGGCTGGGCATAGTGCTGACCACACTATCTTTTCATATGCCGAGGTCACAGAAACAAGTGAACTCTACTTCACTTGCCCCATAGACCGCCTGGTTTGAAAGTGAATCTTTGCTTTTACTACTTTAATTTGAAGATGGGGCGCAAAATTGATAGTTTGTCCTGGGCACCTAAATAGATCACTATGCCTTTGTATATAGTTAATATAATCTAATCAAAGTTATAAATTAACTTTTTAATAATTGCGATTTCACATTTTGCGCCCCCCTACGGACAGCGCCCTAGACAACTGCCTAGTTTGCCTTATAGGTAGCGCCGGCCCTGAGTAGGTGTGTGGTGTGATAGTCCTTCATGACTCTTGCAAAAATCATCTAAAACCTGTGTAGAGTAATAAAGATTTCATGCCAATAAACATAAAACCACACTTAACACTACATATTAACATACTTCTCAGTGCTAGTAAAAAAAGGTTATACATAGATCTAAATTTAAAACAATAAATTTAGAATAGGCCTTTAAGTTATTCTAGATTTTGATTCTGCTTCTAGACTCTAAATTTAGTAGAGAAATCTAAGAGAAGCATAGTAATAGTATGTAAAGTAAGTAGTGAATTGGAAGTAGTGTTAGAAAGCCTAAAATATTAAAATAACACTAGATCTAGATATAATGATTAAGCCTTCTAGTTCTAGTATTACAACTAGATTCTAGTCATAGAATCTATCTATATTATTATTATTTAAGGCAAAGTGGTCTGATGCCGGTTAGGGTGCTGGTGGCCCTTCAAATTTGGCAGGCATTTGCCTCGGGTCAACAGACTGACCAGCGGCTAATATGAGCTATATATATATATATATAAATTCCCACGTAGGATCCCTTTGTCAATTCTTGAGATTATATATCAATCCACGGAGTCCCAAAAAATTGTGTCATAGCTGACCAGTCCTATTTCCCTATATAATCTTTGTAATTTATGTGAAAACCAGAGGGTAATTTCTAAAAAGATTTTAGGTCACTCAGGCTCTGTGCATCTGGTTAATTTTTTTCTATAGACTTGTGTAAATGAATTGGCCAATGGAAAAAATATTTATATATATATAATATATTTAAGGTCAACTCAAAATATTGTCTGCTTGGCAAAACATTTCCAATGATTCCTTTTGTAGACTATACAATCTATGTAATGTTAAGATGATTTTTAAAAAAAGAATGAAAATAACACTGGTTATAGAGATCTAGGCCTTAATACATTAATTTTTTTTACAGGAAAAGAAACATTTTCAAGTTAGCTTTGCTGCTTGATAGATCACCCAGAAGAAATGCACGTATAAAACTTGTGTACAAAATGAAAGTTCAACTGGTTTATATATTGCTTACACATCTATTTATTAATGCTCATGGTAAGCTTTTTAAGTAAAAATAAATAAATACAACATTTTAATGAAATACTACATTATATCATTATTTATTTTATATAAGCGAGGCCTACATACATAGGAATAAGACCTAATTTAATCAGTATTTTAAAAGAAGAATAGTTGAAGTTTAACTTCAACAGCTTTGATACAGAACAGTTTTTTTTAATGTTGACACTATTGAATTGATCTTGGGTCTAGGACATAACCCCATTAGTTTTTGCCCCCAGGAATTCTCCTACTTATTCTCCAACCTCTGACTACCTTTAAGGAAAAAAGTGTGTAAAATCAAGAGGTTCACAGCATCCATGTGCAATCACTCTTCCAGTAAAGAACAATTTTAGATAGTATTAACACATTCACACAGCAAGTTTACATGCTGTAGACTAACAGACATTATCTACAAGTTTTTATTTCTAAAATTAAATTCCATACATTTTTGAGATTAAAAAAAAATCTAGTCCAAAAACTAGTAGTTTTCCAGACTTATAAAATTCAAAAATTTACTTTTCTAGACATTTTCCAAACTTTGAATGAAAGCTTACCGAGCCTTATGCAATGATTGTAATTTTTGGTATAAAAAGAGAAATAAACTAAACAGAGATTGCAAATTTTATGATGATTGTTAATATTATAAGGCATCTATGAGTGCAGAAAAAAAATCCTATTAAATACAAAACTAAAGATACTTTGCTGTTTCTGTTTGGTATGGCAAAAAACATATAATCAAACCAAGCACTTAACACATAGGGCCTAATTTATACTAAGTCGTTTAAAATATACTTATTTTTCAACACTGCTGGGCTGTATTTTCAATATTTAGGCCAAGTAAAGATGTTACAAAAAATATCAAACTCCTTTATTACTTTATCAATTAATAGCATAGCAAGTTATGCACTTCATGTTATTGAATTAGAAATTTGGCAGAATGGTTTGAGAAATTTACTAAATTTTTGTGGACATGGTGTGATGATAACTCATGGTCGGATAACTCAGGATGTTTCATCCTGCTCCCATTGATTGTATATAGTTAAGTAACTGTATGATATATTTATAAAAGGAGCATGTATGTATTATATTTGTGAGCATATATATATATATTGAATATTAGCTTTGTAATTGCTTTTAAAAACATATTTTATCTTTTTATAAAGCATATACAACATGTGAAGAAAACCAACTATGCTACTTCAAGTCTACTGTATCAGAAAGTAGTAATAGGATTAAAACACTGCAGTGGAAAACAAATGTTTACATTGTTAGCATTTGCAATCTTGGAGACCCATGCACAACTTATGCCAATTTTCGTGATTATGCAACTCCAAGTGTTGATAGTAATGTAAATAATGTATCATTTTCCATGACACTGTCAAACGTTAACCGTAAGAGGTTGCAATCTGATGGATATGTATGGAAAGCAATTGCTTTCTTTTCTGATGGATCTTCTAAAATTTTCTTTGACACAACACTGCAAATAATTGGTAAGAACATCCTACTGTATTTTTAAAGTATCATTAGTAATAACTTATTTTAAAACTTAAGCAATTTTTTGTTGAAATTTATTACTGCTGGTATTAATGATTAACTATCCTTGAAGCTTTGGTTTGCACATGCTAAATTATTGTACCTTTTTCCTTTAGCATTTTAAAAAACTAAATTTGAGTAGCTAATAATATTTAGTAATGTCACACATCAAAAAACACACTGCCTTGACTTGTAGATGTGACATGATTAAAAATTGTGCTTACAGTTAAATAGATTTTTTCCCTCCCAATTCGGACTATAGATTGTAATGTCAACGTCATTTGTATGATGTAAATATTTAATAGCTGACTGTATTTCTGTTATATAAAGACCAATTTGGTATAGATAACAGGTTAGGTCTGCATGTCACCTCTCCTGGGACATAGACAGCTGACTAGAGCTTTCCAGACATCTCTGCCTGGGCTAGTTGGCTAGACTCATTCTTCTTATTTAAGTTTAAAAGGTGGCTGTTACAATCCACTATATATATATATATATATATATATATATATATATATATATATATATATATATATATATATATATATATATATATATATATATATATATATATTGTCTGTTATGCATTAATGCACTATTATTTTATTAATGGAATCACCATGAAACGGGAAGTTGCTCAGTAGATTCCTCAGGTTTCTGTCAAAAATATTATTTAAGTATTGCAGGGGCAGAGCATTGGCAACAACATATCCAAAGTTCCCTAAAATCTACCTTCACACAGAGTTCATTCAATGGGCATCAAGCACATTGGGAAGGGATTAATGACTGCTCCATGGTTGTCCTTTCCCCCATAGAGTTAGCCTTATTCTAAACAGCCAGGTCTCCCCTTGACCACTATTGTACCTACATTTCAAGAGATATGGTAGGCTAGTACATTCAATGAATAAACTGAACCGAGGTGGCATTGATGCACCTGTTGTAGTTTATCCAAAGGATCACAAGAGTGCTCTGTGATCAGTGATGCCACTTAGACATGGGCGGTGACCAAGGGGTGTTTCCCTACCCTTGAGGAGGGTGATTAACATTGATTGCACCTAACAAGTATTAGTTTTATTTATTTTTATGTCATATGTTTTACTTTTAGTCAAGCCCAAACAATTGACCTGTGCATACAACACATCTGTAAATGGTCTTCTGATTGACTGCTTGGGTTCCAAATCATATCCTGAAAGTAAATGTAATTTCACATTAAAGTTTAATGAAGTAAGTAAAAGCATTACTGTTATTTATATATGTAGAAGGAACATTATAAAAATAAATTCAGTGAATTGGGTTTCATCTTTATTTTTAAGTGTATCAGTATTACGACCTATAATAATTTTTCAAAAATGTATTTTTTTTGGTGATAAGTCTATTTTAGTTAAGTTACTTAGTCATGGAATTCTCTTCAGTAACTAAATAATTTTGGGGAAGTAACTTCTTAGAATATACTGTTTATGACATTTTGCATGGAAACAGGTAAACCTTCAGCTTTTTTTTCTTTTAATAATAAAAATTTTCACAAATTCATTCATCATTGATGCTTGACTGATGTAGGCCTACTTATTGTGAAGTATAAATTCAAGAAAAGCTAAATAATTGTCAGCATAATACCTTTTTATATAATTTTACTTGTTGTAGTATGCAATATCTGCTATTCTAAGGTCCATAACATTATTACAATTTTAACACCTGTTGTAATGATGAATCAGACTCATTGTTGTCCACTTACTTGTTTAAAATTAGTAATAAGACATAATCATCTAATGTAGAAAAGGGGATAAAGACTTAATGGTAATGTGCTGGTTGTATAATATTTTCATATGGCTGAGGTACAAAAACCATGGACTGTCTTGTTACGTTAGACCTACAAATATTGTAATTAATGTATTTATTATTAATGTCCATAAATTACTTTATTACTGTCAATAACTGAAAAAATAATAATGTTCTCTGTTGTATTGTACTATATATTTTACTCAACAGGTTGATATTGGAATAAACAACACCCCTGAATACAACCACACAAAGCTTTTCGAGAATGATGAGTATTTCTTGACCAGATGTTCTCTAAACATTCCCATGCAGAACATAACAACTGGACATTATGAATTTGATATTAGAATTTACCCTGGCTCATCAGATAGTGAATGTGAAGACTGTGGGAATACAACAATAACGTTGGATATAGGTAAATTTAGAATTTGTGATTTTGTTTAGGCTTATCAGTATTGGCAGTGTTCACAGTAAAAACATGACCAGATATCTTTCATTACTTTCGAGATTTGGTTTTGTATACTAATTTTTTAATTTATGTTAAATTAAATAGTTCAAAAGGTCATTTCCTTTAAAAAAGGAGAATGGTTTTCTCTTTCTTTTAATGGTTTTTGATCTGATTGCATTAAGTCTCTGCTTTGGTATTCCCCCTGTATCAAAGTTAGCTTCAAATAAGTTGCAAAAATCAATGAAAAGTTTCCATCTAGAGCTAGAAAGTTATAAGGTACACAAATATTGTTAATTGTACAAGACTAACCAATTAGTACTTTCTTCACTAATTATACATGGGTGTGAGCAGTGACATAGTTTAGTCATATAATTTTGAGAGTACATATGAACCCTTGTTCTAATTTTAACTGTGGAAATCTTTAAAGTGCTCTGACTGATAGAGGCTCTGCAATGTCTAATTGTTTAAACATTTCTGACTTATACGATTATGAATTTAATGTACATTTATATAGAAAACTAATACAATTAATTTTTTACCTGAAACTCATTATTTAGCAATTTCTTTTTACATAATATATCGTCTACGTAAAATGTTTGTATCCGAGAAAGATTTGTTTTATACACCTTATACATTTATCTCTTTTTAATTCATGTCATGGACAGTTTTTTTTTAGTTTTGATCATTTCTTAAAAAATAAAGTGTTAAACATGTTTCAGAAAAACCCAAAGTTCAGTTAATCAGGTGTTCTAGCTATGTGTTTGAAGGAACAAGACTAGACTGTACTTGTAGAAAATCTGATAGCAGTGACTTAGCATCACAAGTAACTTGGTATCAAGGAAATAGCATTCTACAGGAAGGAGAAAATATTTCTGTTCTAACAACAACAGTTTCAATGGCTCAAAGTAAGTATATAACTTAGACATACTAAAAGCAGTACCTTATCAAGTATCTGTGCACATCTTAACATATTATTCTACTTAAATTGATATTGTATAAATATCAAATAAGGCCATATTAATAAAAAAAAATAGCCAAATAGTGACACCAAAATATAATTTCAAGTTATTGAACTTAAACTTTCTTTTTATACCTTTATGTTAATACATTTCAAAAGATGCATTTTTCCTTACAATCAGATTACACATGCCTATCTGAAAATGCCTTTGGTTGGAGAAGCAACAGTGAAATCTACATCCCTAACATCATTAGTAAGGTTTTAATTTTTTTTTTTTTGCACTTATATAAGTAATTTCTTAGGCTGGAGATTGGCAAATCTTGTTTCAGTGGTTTTTGTAGCTGCTTATGAATCTATAATAATAGTTTCACTTTCTGTGTATCTATTTATTTATCTGTCAAGAACGCTATAGAGAAAACACAAGCAGAGTAAAAACATGCTTAGTAATTTGAAAAACGAAACGTGACGTCACATGGAGCATATAGTAGAAAATAGTCTAAAGCTGGAGAGTGCACGCAGTAATATGATGTCATTGATTCTCGAGTAAACATTGAATTAAAAAGCAAATTATGTCTAATCTTAAAATCTTTCATGCAATTCTTTGGGTAGACCCAAAAGAAATGACATCATCGCCTAATTCATGTGTCTAATCCTAAAAGTGGTTTGCGTTAAAGAGTTTCTTTTAGTATCAATGTGCAGTAAGTACAGTGCAATAATTTAAGCTTAAATCCGATTAAAGTACCGATTCTGGATAAAAACCGTTTCCAAGGTCATGTTTTGTTTCCGGTTAAATTTAAATAAGGTGATTTTGGTTTTGGTTTTAGTTTATAGAATAAAAACAGCGCTATCAACCTAATGCCCATTGTAACCTACCTCAACGGTTGTGTATGGTTGTGTTAAAGTAAAAAAGTAAAGTTTCCCTTTCAAACCTGACAGTCTATGGGGCAAGTGAAGTAGAGTTCACTTGATTCTGTGACCTCAGCATATGAAGAGATAGTGTGGTCGGCACTATGCCCAGCCGCCTTTACTTTCCCTAACGTGAGTTAGGTACCCAACAAAGTTGGGTGGACTCAGGGACAGTCTACTGACTTGAACCCGGATTCGAACTCGAGATTTACGAGTTAGCAGTCCAGCTCTCTACCACTCGCTAGACCACTCCGTCCCATGGTTGTGTAGGTCATCCTTAATGCTCAGCTCTCTACAGTGTAAAGCTGACTACATTGCAAAGTAGTATAGTTAGTTTTCTCCTTGCTGATGTTGAGTCCAAGTTGCGAAGATGTGTGCCACCATGATTGCTTGCTTGTGTATTTGATGTTGTGGAAGAGGAGTGCTAGGTCATCTGCAAAATCTAATCTTATATTCCTGGGAACACTAATGGTTTATGGCAAGATGATGTTGGTAAGCTTCCATATCATACTCCAGTCAGTCCACCCCATTTCTCTTGGGCTACTTGACTGTACATAACAGTTTTAGCTATTCTAATGATACAAATCTTATTGATATGTAGTTGATTCTTTATTCAAATAAGTTTTACATTGCCATTGTGTTTGCTTAGGCAGTTTAATACAGATAAAACTTAATAATTTAAATTTTTATTTTGTTTTACTTAAGCTGCTTAGTTTTTTAAATCAATAAATTATTTTTTATTGTGAATAAGCTATTATAAGTTATGTAAGTTTTATATTGCAGACATATAGCCATTTTTTCTAGTTATAACATTTTAGCTATAACAATACTCAGTGGTGTAATTTTACTATATGTTAAAGTGATCATTAATATTTTTTTGACCTAAAACAAAAGACAATCTTAAGACTGCCCATCTTTTCTATAAGACGTAAATTAAATTTTAAAATGTATCATCACTTTAATGCCTAAACCAAAAATAATTTGAAATGTAATATTATTCAAAGTTTCATTGCAAGTATTATGTTGTTAAATATAAATACAAATAAAAATGATATCCATCTTCCAAAATGCCCAGACGACAAACCATACTCATGCTTACCACAAGGAATATGTTATGGTAATGTTGAGTTCTGTTATAATGGACAAGTGGAGTCATGCTTTTCATTTAATTTGTCATCTGTAACCTTTAAAAAATGGTGTGAAACACAAGGACATCTGAAAAGAAATGGATCTTCCAACCTTGCATGTGATACACATTTTGACCTTCGAGGTAAATTTTTTAGTATTTTTTGTTAGCCCAGTGATAATTTTAAAGGAATTTAATATTGAAAGTTTAGTTTTATCCATCATGTTGCATCAACTGTTATTGTTTGTTTACATTTTTAAAAGTTTCACTGGCTTTTTGTTCCTCCTTTCTCTATTACTGAAGAGAAGCTATTGATTTTAAATTTAAAAATGTTGGATGGACTTATTTATTTGGTTACTTTCTTGAATTAAGATATTTCCCAGATATTTCATCCTGACATTACTCCATCCCCAGAGCAATTACCCTCTGTCAATTACCCCCTTGGGTAGTTACCCCCTTCCACCAAGCTCAAGAATCCTGTACACTAAATTCCAACTCTATATTTAAAGTTAACCCTAAACCAAACATCAAACCTAACTCCAACTCAATACCTCTAACTTACCTTTAGTCAAAAGCCTAAACCTATGCAATCAAAACAAACCCAAACCTTAGACATTAGTTTAAGCCTAGCCCTAATCAATAGCCACACCCTAGCCCTAACTGTACCTTGATATGTATATAATGTATGTATATGCCTGATCACCCAAAACAAGCCTACACAGCTATTCTGCTAATTCTAAAATTTAAAGAGATTTAAACTAAAAGAACATGTATGTGAACAAAACAAACCATTCATCGAAGAACTGCCAAACGACAACCTGAACAACCCTGAGTCAGAAGCAGACCAAAGCCAGCGCGTGAGTCAGAATTTGAAACCAGCGTGAAATTATGTCATCGACCATCTGATTATTTAAAACTATAAGTAGTATAAGTCCATGGCTATCATCAATATTAGAATAATAAATGGTTTTTCAATACATAATGTGTGATTAAGTATAATTAAAAGGGAAAAATAACACATGTCCAAAATTGGTATGTATTTTAAAAAAATTTATTCTGAACATATGGTTTGTCTGGGTAACTAAACAAATACACCTACATATCAAGGATTGAACCAATGTAAATAAAAAAAACTTATTTTATTTCAAAATGTAAAACATGTAAGGCTACTAATCAGCAAACGCTAAATTTTGTTTTTCTCCAAAGTGAAAAAGTGTGACAATTTTGGTTTAGCCCCTGTGTTCTTCATTTATATATATATGTATATATATATATATATATATATATATATATATATATATATATATATATATATATATATATATATATATTTATATATATATATATATACATATTTATTTATTTATTTATATCTTATATTTTAGAAGAAGAAGGTCGAAGAATTCTGATTAGTATAGTGGTCGCAGTAATTGTTGTATTAAGTAAGTAAAAACCAATTTATTAACATAGTCTTGTAAATTTGCATTTTTTTTTTTTTTATGAAATACTGTTATTAATTTTTACTAAGAAAGGCTGGTTTTATTCTAATAGTCAAATTCTGTTTATTCCAGTTATATTTATCATCATTTGTTGGAAGAAGAAGTTAATAACTAAAAAACTATTCAAGTCACGCAAGTAATTATATTTTGTAATAACACTAATAACACTTACTACTAAATCCAATCTATAAGATTCATCAACAATAAATAATGTTAAATTTGAATGCTGCTGCAAACAAGATGGTATTCCAAGTCTATATATATTAATGTATATACATATGCATGTGCATATATATATATATATATATATATATATATATATATATATATATATATATATATATATCCGTACAATATATGTTTACTCCCACACAGGCATGCACGCACTCGTGCACACACGTAGAGACACACACACAGCAACACACACACAGACACACTCACACAGAGACACATACATGAGACACATACACGACACACATACACACACTCAGAGAGAGACACACATACACAGAGACAATCAGACTTACCTCTTCTCCCCTACCTCACCCCACCTCACTCACCTAACTCACCTTACTCACCTCAACTCAATCACCTCGCCTTACCTCACCTCTCTCACCTCGCATCACTCACCTCACCTGAATCACCTCACCTCATTCACCTAACCTCAATCACCTAACCTCACTCAGCTCACTCACCTCATCTTACTCACCTCACTTACCTCACCTCACTCAACTCACCTCATTTACCTCACTCACCTCACCTCACCTTACTCACCTCACTCAACTCACCTCATTTACCTCACCTCACTCAACTCACCTCATTTACCTCAATCAACTCACTGACCTCACTCAATTCACCTCATTTACCTCAATCACCTCACTCACCTCACTCAATTCACCTCATTTACCTAACTCACCTCAATCACCTCATTTTACTCACCTCACTCACCTCACCTTACTCACCTCAATCACTCACCTCACATCAAACTCACCACACCTCACCTCATCACCTTACTCATCTCACTCACCTCATCTCACTCACCTCACCACACTCGAGAATTTTTCTATAAGGTCGATTCATTTCCCCAAGTCTATGGAAAAAGTTAGCCAGATGTACTGAGCCAAAGTACACTAAACATAGTTTTTCACCAAATTAACAATATTTATATACGGAATTCGGACTCGTCAATTCTAAAGACCTTGCCAAGTTTTCCTGAAAATAACATAGTTTTTTTGTTACCCCTGAGGGTCGTTCTACAAACTAAGGAGTTATAATGGGGTTCCTATGTGGGAAATTATTTCGATATATAGTTCATATATGGCGCTGGTCAGTTGAGATCAGTTTTGACCCTCTTTTCGTAGACTTGTGGCTGATAAGCATTTGCACTCATGTTTTATTGGCTAGTGGAAAGCGCCTGCAATTCTGAGAAGTACCAGAACCGGCTGTTAATGGTTAAGGGTATATTTGTACCATAATAATAGCAATAACCTGTAAAATGTGTAAATTCAACTGGTAAGAGGTAACTGAAATTTCTACTCAACTACCACATGGAATTACATCACTGGCAGGAATAGTTTAATTCAAATAAGTATTCACATGCCCTGTGTGGTGGACAATCTAGCCAACTAGAGAAGAGCCTGTGAGGGGGACGAAAGATAAGAATGTACATAGCTGTTGAAGGGGGTGGAGTAATAGAGCAGGTAGAAGGTGGTGGAAGAATAAAATGGAGCTAGGTCTAAACGGTTTTACCGTCACACCGGCATCCGACCACTTTGCTTTATGTATTATATAGGGGCCTATATATTTAAATATATGCATATGTAAATGGTGTCCTGAGATCATTTGTCATGGAACCATGTAATTATATGCATGTAAATATATAAATATATATAATTATATGTATATATTTGTGTGTATTTGTGTGTGTGTGTATACATACATATATATACATTTATAAACATGTATAAATCCTACATAACAAATGTATTTATATTTTCAGAAAGAAACAATCAAGAAATGAGCATTGTGAAAGTCAGGTTTGTACAAGTTATTTTTATGTTTGGACTAGGGAAAGTGTTCTAGCTGCACTTTTACAAAACCTCCACAGTACTTTCTCCTGAGTTATTTAGTCAGGTTTATTGTAGATATATGATTTGACAAATTCTATACTTTGAATATTTTTTTATAAACTACCTTACTGTATTGGTCAGGCAAGCTCTTGTAAAAATTGAAATTAGTATTAGACTAGGAAATAAAGGGTACATTTAATATTTTAGATTCACTATATCAAGAGTGTGTTGAAGGAAAGAATAAGTTGTTACTATTGTTATACTTGTTGACTGGTGTTATTATTTCTGTTCTCACTTTGTGCTGCGAGTTTTTGTCCATAACATTACCGTCATCCTATTTGTCCTAGTTTTCATTTGGTATTGTATGCTGGTTGAAAAGAGTGAGTAAAAGCCTCATTTCATTATGTACATTCTACCAGTCTGGGGTATGTAGTTTCTATGTAGAACATCAGCTCACAACTTTATTCTAGGTTAGTTTGTTTTCATTGTAGACTATTTAGAACAGACTGTGATTTTCATTTTAGTTTGTATATAGTATAGATAAACTATTAAACTTTCATGTTATTTAGCCTAGTTTATTGGGTTATTTTCTGTTTTTATATGTTGTGTCTATGCTTGATTTCCCTCACTTGCATTAGTGTGTTCAAAACAAGAAGCTATTTCTTACAATTTAAAGCTAATCTGTCAAAGCAAATCTTTCTTAGTTGTGTATAGTTCAGATTTGCTTAAGAATGAGCAGCACTAAAAGAATACATATGGTACATATTTCCTTTGAAAACTTGGGATATATATCAGTTTATTATTTTTAGAAGAAATAAACCATGTGCAAGAGACATCAGTCGCTACTGAAACCATAACATTTTTATGACAGACACTTGTACTTCTTTATGAATAAAATAGTTTGTTTTATATTCTAATTTTAGTGTGTATAAAACAATATTATACATGTTTTTGTTTTAGTTAATACCATTAATAGACTCAATGATCAATAACTAATTTGTGTCTTGTATACTTTAAAAAAAGCATCTGTTACTTATAAATTTTAGGCATATCCAAGTTCTGCTAATGTTTTAGAATTGGAACTTTTCTTACCCAGAAGTACAGGTATTCATATATTTTAAAGTATACATATAAACTTTTGTTTCCTATGCTGCCTGATCTGAAAATTACGCTGTTGAACATTCATGCAAAAGATTAAATAATGAAATTACTATAAATTGTAATATTTTTCTATGATCTACATCAATCTCATTACATCATTTATATCTTGTTGGTGTTTTTTTTTCTGTTATAATGTTTTTAGTTTATTTAAAAGATTTTTCTTAAAAAAAATAGATGTTAAGAACCTTTTAATTTTACTTTTAGCACTTACTGTTGTTATTGAGCTTTACAGTTAGATTCTCATTATATGTACTCCCAGTATTTAATATTTATTTTTATGCATTAGGAAGTAAAGTGCCTACGCCACACAAATCTGGAAAACATTCACAGATCTGTATCAAAACATTTTCAACACGAGGAGGTAAATCATTTAGATTAAAATTTGATAAAATTTGATTACCAATGGTTGAAGTTTTAAAATTTAAGGATTTTCTCTAAATACATTTTAAGTTATATATATATTATTTGACTTAATAAAAACAATTAAGCCCACTTTGTACAAAAACGAATTATATGTTTTAGATGAAGAAGATATACATTTTGCCAAAAAGGAATGGGATATTTGTAAGAGGAAATCAAAACATAAAGGATTGATTTTATGCACAGAATATTTAAAAAATCCGAAAGCTTATTTGCCTGAGTATGATCAAGAGACAGTAAAAACCTACATCAATACCTGCATTAATTTGACAGTAAGATTGGTTGTTAAATTAGTAAGTACTAAGAGACCAGTTAATGCCTTTGGAGCTCAGAAAGATCATGCGTTGACAGGAAGTGGTATTATTGTAGCAGTTGAACATACAGAAACATACCATCATGTGGAACATCATGATCAGACTGAAAAGCAAACATGGAGTGTGTACATAGCCACAGCCACACAAGTTGTGTTTGATCAAACAGAAGCTGAGTGTACAATAGCAGAGCTGTTTTATGATGATGAACAGAAAAGTAGAGTCAAGAAGCTTCAGGCAATAGGAATACACCAATACAATAAAAATGAGTCTTGTATTATACACTGTATTACTGATGAAGAGAATGTATACAGTTCTTTAAAAGAAACTTTGAGACAGCAAAAAGATCTGTGTAAAGATGTACTTTGTAATGAAAATAAAGTTGTGTTAATCTCACACCCTCATGGCATGCCTAAACATATCAGTTTTGGTGAGTGTACTGAAATAAGTGCAGATTCATCTACTCCACTGTTCAAGTTGAGCAGGTGGAAATACACAGCAGCAACATGCAATGGAAGTGCTGGGGCTCCAGTTCTAATGCTGAACAATTGGTACTGGCAATTCTCAAAGTTACTTATTGCAGATTTTCATGTACATTCTGGAGTCAATTCAGAAGGATTTAATTTTTCTAGCAAAGCTCCAATAACAAAGAAAATTGCTGAAAAAATGTTATCTGAGGTTCGTAAATTTGTTTTTTTCATGTCATGAATTGTTAAATATGGCACTACTCTTGTACACCATGAGAGTGGCCCAGTTACTGCATGCTTGACTGCTTTTGTTATGTATACTTTTTAAATCACTCTACTCTATGTCATCTTAGATATTAGACAACACCAAGTTTAACCCAATACAACTACAAAGAATAGGTAGATAGAATCGATCTACACCTTTCACTATGTCTTGTCTATAATTTCAACCTTTTTGAACCTAGATCAATCTGTAAATTATTTCTGACAACTACGAGTAAACCTGAACTCTTAACTATTCTTTGAGATCTTAGAGTTGACTGCATTATCTTAAGATTTTATCTTGACCATTTAACTAAAAATTTCAGTGCTCCTAGCATCATGGTATGTTTTTGATCATGTCTAACTGAACTGGTCATATTACTTTTTCTGCTGCATCCCAGTCTTTTAAAGCTCTGTTAAACGTATATTGCTGTTAAGCCATTAGTAATGATGGTTCATCTGCAGGAGTTATTTTTTAAATTTAAATAATAAAGATTTTGGGACAAATAAAAAGCAACTAGTCATGGCTCTGTCGGCATATTCCCTGGCAATACTTTATTCAAAAGTATCATACAATCAAAAGATGCTTCTCCTCTGTTAACACCTAATATTGCTTTTACCTAATATTAATTTTAATGTTTGGATATTTTAACTAACAATAGCAAAAAAACTTTTTTTTCGTTTTCATGCTGGTAATTGTTAAAATTAAATATCACCATCTTTTCAATTTTTTTAAAATTAAAGGCATTGCAGAATATCTCATATGAAGAAGTTGAAGTTAACTGTAGTGAAAAAGAAGTGAAACACAAACAAGGTAATATTTTTTTAATCTTACATGTTCCTTAAATGGTTTTTAAGTTTTGCTACCTTCATAATCATACAGGGTATTTTTACCTACAATGTGGCTCTATGCTTGGCATTTTTTAAGTTTCATATCTAACATAAAATAAAAACAGTAGTGGTACAGCAATGCGAGAGTGGGGATGAGGCTCATAATGGGCACAAACTCTTCACATGATCAGAGACGTCATGTGGTGCTTTCGGGAGCCTCCTTTTACACTACCACAAGGATGCCAGATACGACCCCTGGTTATGTTCACACATCAAATTTCATGCCCCACCATGTCCCTAGGGGCGCCTATATATATATATATATATATATATATATATATATATATATATATATATATATATAGAGAGAGAGAGAGAGAGAGAGAGAGAGAGAGAGAGAGAGAGAGAGAGAGAGAGGCTGGTCTGTTGTATGGTAAGACTGGTCTGTAGAGAGAGGCTGGTCTGTTGTATGGTAAGACTGGTCTGTCGAGAGAGGCTGGTCTGATGAAACTGATCCTTATTTGGTAAGTCAGACGAGAACATTTTTGTGAATAATGAAATAATATATATGTGTTGCTTGACAGGTTGAGATTTTAAGCTAAGTTGAAGCTGCCTTCTCCCTCTGCTGTATGGTAGCATCTGGCAATACATTTTCAGATCACGTGATTAAAAATTTTCTGAAATGTGAACATGTAGTAATACTTATCACTATAGCATGCTAATTACTGTTTAACATTTAAATTTATATTCCAAGTAGTTTATTTTGTCGTTTAACATGTAGGCCAAAATCTTGTAACTACCATATAAAACATTTCTTAACACGAACATAAAAACCTCAATCTAAAGTTAGTAATGTATAAAAAACAATTCTACATATTACACAACTTTGTGGAAATTTGATTCGATTGTATGTTTTAAATTAAGCACTAGATCTAGACTAGATTCTAGAATTTAGACCTAGTTTCAAAGCCTAATAAAAATGTAAACAAATCAGTTTGGTTCTCGAAAATCAAACTGGAAATAGGCTATATTAATTAAACAAGTACTCTTTATTTATTATTCTTTAAAATGTAATAGAATAGCTTACCATAATTAATCTAATATCTTTACCTATAAATACTGTAATTGCTGTGGTGTAAAATTGTGCGATAGCACCGAGCGACTGCGTTGCTGATTAAAAGTATACTGTGGAAATGGCAGAGATTTTTAGAAATATTAACCGGTTTCTTCAGATAATTATATCTCGATAATCATTCACCAGATTTCTATAATATTTTCAGGCATTATGGGGAATCATGCTGGCTTTTGATTTATGTAAAAAACAGAAATTTGAATTTTTTTGAGATAGATAGTTTACTTATATATATAAGAAGGGGAAGAATTCTACCATCTATTATATATTTATAACAAAGAGACTTTCTTATCATTAATATATGTAATATCTTTTTGACTTTTGATCTTTTTTAGCTCATGTTTATGAAGCTTCCTCTACCTACAGTGCTGATAATTTATGTATTGGTTTACCAAACTGCGAAAAAAATCCAGGCCACACTGATTTTATTGAAGTAGAAAGTTTTTCCCAAGATCATTTACCAGATAAGTATCGCGAGGCAATTCTTTATGACTACATTAAAAAACTAATAACTTTAACCGGCAAAGTGATGGTAAATTTTAAAAGTCCAGATAGATCACAATTTTACCCAACTACAGGTGACCTATTCAAAGCAGGAGCTGGAACAGGAACAATAGTGTCGGTGGTAGAAATCAAAGAACAAGTTTCATGCCCCTGTCCAGATTGCAAAAATTTGGATGTTGCAAAAAAAAAGTTTTATTTAATATTTGTCCGCACAGCAAAACATATTATATTTAATGATGAAGAAGCACATAAAAGCAATTTCCAAATAAATTTTGATAAAGAAGTATCATCTGAAATAAATTTGTATGGTCTGAGATTAATTGAAAGTGAAATTAGTAAGGAAAGGTCACTTGTAATGTATGTTACTCATGATTTAGAAGTAGGAGGCAAGTTGGCTAATACCTTGAGACAACTGTATACACTGGATAAAAAAATTGTTAAAAAATTTAAAATATCAGATGATCACAAACTTGCTGTTGTTGTTTCTCATCCACATGGATCATTTAAACATGTATCAATTGGAAAGTGGTTGAATAGAAAGATCGTGCTGTCACAAGATCGTTGTTATACACAATACACTTACACCACAGCTACATGTCAGGGCTGTAGTGGTGCACCTGTTTTTATATTAGGTGAAAGGATCCCTCGAGTAACTAAACGTTTGCTAACACCTCATGTCCATAAAGAAACAGGTGATGAATATAATACAAGCTGTTGTGGAATTGAGAGTTACAGGATTTAAACAGACTTCCAAAGGGGAAAAAGAATTATTCTGCAAATTATTTATTCTTTTGTTTGGATTTTTAGTCTCCACATGTACACATTTTTTGGATGGTAATTTGAAAAGAAAAATAATTGGGCTTATAGAACATGGTGGGAAGATGAGGCAAATACCAAGGTCCAATAATCTTGACCAAAGATATATATATATATATATATATATATATATATATATATATATATATATATATATATATATATATATATATATATATATATATATATATATATATATATATATATATATATAAATACATACATACATATATATATATATATATATATATATATATATATATATATATATATATATATATGAATTTGACTTTGTTAATGAAAATAAACATTTTTTTTGTGTATTCTAAATCTTGTTACTGTAAAAGTTTTAAAATCTAAAGGCCTATATGTTATATTTTAAATGTAAAGAGCTACTTTAGTAAAAAGAACTAACAGCCAATGTTCTGTCCTCACTATGTCCATGTTTGCACATCTGATCCAATTAGATCCATCATTGCAACTATTTCATATTTTATACAGTTAATACCAGTGGTTTTTTTTTTACTAAATTTTACTTTCAAATTAAATTATACAATACTAGTAACTACTTTAAAAAATAATATTTGTATTTGTTACTAAATCATAGTATAAGATGTTTTGATTCTTACTAACCTAATCAGAATTGTCAATTTTTATTGAAGCAATCGCAGTAGCATTTGTCATATAATTCTATTTTTTTATATTTATTAAATTGAAGTAATGACTACTATTGGTTAATTTAAAAAAATGTAAAACCATAAATTTCAATTTTTTAAAACTTTATTTACTTCTGTGATATTCTTATTAGCATCTTGTTTTTGGGATTAACTTAATCATTTTTCTGCAGGTGTAATAGTTTATATGGTTAATTATTGTGGAAGTGTTAAAAGTTTGTTCTAACTTTGTTACAAAACATTTGTGTTAATATTTTTTTAAGTTTTCTGAAAAAAAAAGTCTTTGGCTGTGCCTATATAAATAATCAGCTTAATAATGAAATGTAGCTGACTAACCTTTTTACCATTGTACAGTGTTTTATACTTTCTCATACACAAAGTATAGGGAAGTATTGTATTTGTAATCATGCAAAAAAAACCTCAAAATTGGAATTAGATTTTGACATCTTGATATTATACACCTTCTTGAGTCTGAAAAAAAAAAAAAAAAAGTTTTGTAATGTGTCTGTTTGTATGTGTGTTTACAAGATAACTTATTAAAGCATCAGTTAGGTGGAGAACATTTCTTATATAGGTTTCTTTCAGCTTTTGAGCATTTTTCCCCACTGAATGTTGTACTGTACTCCATTTTCTCAAAATCATTTACAATTGGATATGTTTTTGTCAGAAAGCAGCATACTATTCTAAGAAACTTTTCACATCTATGTATTTCCTTAAAAAACCAAACAGTTTTGTTACAAATATTTCTATAGCTAGATTACTCTGGAAGTGCTATAACTACTTGTACTGTTATTTAAGATTATGGAAGAAAGTTTATTCCTTAACTTTTTTAGTGTTTGTGTTTAAAAAAGCCAACAGTAGATGAACACATAGAAAGGTGTTATTTATAAATATTTAAATAATGAAACTCTGAAATGGGTGTAAGGGTCATCCACAAATGATGTCACACTCATAGGGGGGAGGGGAGTTCCTTATTTTTGTGAAGGTATGTGATGAGGGGAAGGTAGAAGGGGGGGGGGGGGGTTCAGATGGTGTGACATCACACTTTGGCATTATAGAAAAGCTGTGTTAGAAAGCGATTTTTAGCCATTATTTTGTATTTAAGAAAATTGTTTAATAAATTGTAATAGGAATTGATTAAAATATTCTGTTGACAGAAGTCAGACAAGATTTTGGAAAAATATCGATGTTTTAAGAAAAATTCAACAGAAATTTTGAGGGGGGTTGTAGGTTGAGGTGTGATGTCATTTTAGGGAGGGGGGGTCTGGCTTTTTGTGACAACGTGTGATGGAGGGGGTGGGGGGTGTAAAAATCTTTTAAAAAGTGTGACGTTATTTATGGATGACCCCGTAATCGATCATTCTTCACATTTTATTTTTTATATCCAGACTGTTGTGACATCTATAGAGGGATTGGGGTGTTTGTTTCATAATTCACCTGGTTAGCTCATTGTCAGGGAAATAATGAACAAGCTAGGGAATTGGGTTGGGGTTTATATAATTTCCACATGGTTTAGGTAAGTTTTGAAATAAGATTATTGTGTTAGTTGTAGTTCCTTGTATATTTTAGTATTGCTTGAACTAAATGTTGTATTTATATAAAGATATAAACATCTATGCACTATACATACTATATATATATATATGTATATATATACATATATTTATTTATTTATTTATTATATAGACCGGAAAAATGTCCATTGTTTTTTATATAACCTCATCAAGCTCTTATAATCATTTCTAAACATTAAAAATCAGATAACTCACAATATTTGGTCAGCCATTACTATTGAAGTTTAAAGTAAATATATATCGTTACTACTTACAGTTGAATAAACTTAATTATTGATTCTTTGACAAGAACAGAAAGAAAAGAATAATAGTAATAGTAAAATAAAACAGACAGTTGCAGGTCTATTGTTATGCTCTCTCCTACATCAATTAAAATAATATATATATAACACAATAAACCATCTAGCTTTTTCAAATTAAAAAATGTGCAATTGGTCACCGACTAGTTAAATAAGATGGTTGATATTTGTACTATCAAAGTGAGTTTATAATTATTTGAAATATGTTTAAAACTAAATTCATTTTTGAAATTATAAGCAAGCCTACTCTTAATAAATATTTCTGAAGCTTTCACAAGGAGTCATGATTTTGAGCCTCTCTCTAAATCAAGACAACTATTATCACATATTTTATAAAAGATTTAATTTAATCTGTGTCTATTTAAAGGAAATTGTGAAGTATTCACAGAATATTTATCCATTCAAACCTGGAGATCTATATAGCGATGATGTAGAGTTCGCCTGTTTCTGTGAGAACTGCATAAAAGGGATAGTGTGCTCAGCTACCTTGACTTTCCCTAACTCATAACTGCTGGGTAGACTCTGGGATATTTTACGGACTCGAGCACCTCGAGCAACAGAAGCAAATAGAAGATTTTCACGTTAATGGCCATGAGCTCTGCTATCTAATTGTCAATAATATTTTATGTAAATTTTGTAAATGTTTGCTTTTATGTATTTTTAATATTTGCATTCTAAAATACTTTAATTGTAGTTACTATTGCTTATTAATAGTCAAATTGGTTTGTATCTTGCTTGCTTTTCTTTGTTTCCAGTAATTACATATCTATATTAAAAAAGTTGGAATGGTTTTCTTATTCGTTTGATTTTTCATGGTGTGGATTATTACTCATCCTGATGTAATATGTTTTAATGTGTTCTTATTGCTGCAAATTACAATGCCCTAAATATATACATTATATTGTAGGACTAAACATAGCCTTACAGTAGGTGTATATTTTCTAAAATTAAAAGATTGAAACAGCTGGATCTAAGTTTTAGCCAGGTTCCTGAAACCAAGAGTGTGTAGCCTAGTTCTTCTTGGGTTGGTTTAGCTATAGTTCATGCATAGCAGAGTTTAACAGTTATTTATATAACAAAAAAGTAAAAAAAATGATTGAAGAATGTGCCATCAATACTTGTTCTAGTTTCATTGGTAATCACATTATTTGACATTGGAATCTTGATTCATTTCAAAGTTTGCTCATGAGAAACATCTCATTAATTTGAGAGTAACACACAGACTAGTTCAAACATTTTGTCGGCTAGCAAAGATTTTAATATGATCATCCAACTTTCTTTAAATAAAATATTATATAATGTATTGTCACATTCATCATGATAACTGTGCACAAGTAGTAAAATGTAGACACTTTAATCATTACAAACAATATATTGCCATTTATATTTATGGTGGAGTAAGTGTAGGGGGGGGGGGGGGATTAAACAGTTACAGTAATATCCAGAGATAGTTAACATTGGATTTTTCTAATCCCAACACACTCGACAACACCACTGCGTTGCAAGACACAAAATGACACCACATTGGAAAATGATAAAAATTTACTGTTGAAATGTTTTATCCAGTTTAAAAGATAAATAGCCATAAAAGGAAGAAGGGTGGCATCAAAAAGATAATGTAAAATTGTTGGAGGGGGTGATACCTTCATTTACTAAGACTTTGTCTCTGGGGTAATCTTCCCTAACGTAGCCTATAAGCCACACTCCTACAACTTCACCTTGGCCTTAGTATCCATTAATTTCACACTTAATTTGCTGTTTTGATTGCATGCATATCTTATGAAATAATTCTCGTTGAGTACTTGAAAGCAAAGCATATTGTAATTATCAACTTTATTTATAAAACTTATGGTAGCATACATTATATATATACATTATACATACATACCATGTATTAGTCCTAGAATCTAGATCTACATGACATAGGCCTCAAGTGATTAAAATTCTTAATATCCTGACGTAGATGTTGTGTAGTATTATATATATTTTACTAGATCTATAACTATAGGCCAATATCCGAACTTCATAAATAATTTTTTTTCTTCTGCATTGCACTTTTAATTTTTTTTATTAACCTTTCCTTTAAATTTTTTTTTTTTTTTACAAAAGGCCCAATGGCCTCACTGGGAAAAAGACCCACCATTAAAAATAGTGTTAACTATTATAATTATTATGGACATTGAAAACCAAGGAGCTTTTCGCTGTTGACCTTATTATTATGAGGAATATTGGATACAAGTTTATGATAGTTAAAATTAACGGTAAAACGTAAGCAAATAAAGAAAACCTATACCGACTAACAAAATGAAAAATCTTTGCTATTGGCCCGTTTTCTTCTGACCGACGGAATAAGCTTATCTGTAGAAAAAAATGTTCGGAGCAACTTCACAAACAATTTCGGGATTTCCCGAATTTGACATAATTTTCCGGTCTTAGGGAAATAAAATACCCCAGAAAAGAAACATACATTTCATCGAGCGGTTGCATACATTATTCACAGTGTGTTGCAATTTGCAAGGCGTGTGTCACAGCTGCACTTGAAATGTGTGTAATACTGTCGTGCGATCCAGTTTATACTGACTAACCTCAGCTGTGTTGGTATAGTCATTCGTAAATGACGTAAGACTTCTGAGAAACGGTGAGATTTGTCAATAGGATCCCAATACCATAACCTTTGTGTGGGTTTCCTGTAAATTCCGCTAGTAGGCCCTATAATGGTTAGGGTGGGTTAATGTATGTGGGGGTTAGGGGGATTTGATTTACCATTCTTAGACACAGTGTTTCTTCCAGACTTTTTTCTCCGGGGGGGGGGGGTAGACTTTTCGGGGGGGGGGGGGGGGTCGACACTGTTATGTTAAAAGTACATATTTTCTATATAAATTTCATATCGTTTGGGGGGGGGGGGGGGGCGGTAGACTTTCTTCGGGGGGGGGGGGGCGGGGGATGCCTGGAAGAAACTGCTCAGAACATAATGGATTTGAGGGGAAAGCCTCGGCTCAAATAGGTAGCGTCGTTTACTGTTTAAGACGACATTTAAGTTGTTTAAACATATTAATCGCAATTTAAAACGTATTCATCTAATAGTTGCTTTAAAGTTTAACAAAGGAATGATTTTTTAAATGTCGAGAAATAACTTGTTAAAAAAAACAATTAAAAAAAACAGTTTTCAGATATTGTCTTTTAATCTGTTCAAAAAAGTAGGAAAGTATTACAAATTAACGCTAAATTAATGTTTTAGTTTTACGGCTTTTCCAGATTAATCCCGTCACTAAAAAAAATAAAAATAAAATAAAATAAAAATAAAATAAAATTTTAAAAAATCTAATAAAAACCAAATGCACGCGCGAAAAGTTAAGCCCCCCCCCCCCACTTTTTGCCATGAACGCACGTGACCAAAGGCGTAGCGAGGGGTGGGCACATATGTCCCCGGGCACCGACACTAGGGGGCGCCAAAATGGGTTGGAAAATAATTAAAAACTCATTTTAGCTGCAGTTTTGCATTATAAATATAGAAAATATATTGGGGGAAGGCGCCAAATTGAAAGCTTGTCTCGAGAAGGGGTGGGGGGGGGGGGGACCAAATTGAAAGTTTGTCCCCGGGCGCCGGTAAGGGTCACTACGCCTCTGCAAATATTTTCTTACCCTTTCTTACCCTTTATTATAACCTTTTTTGGATGGCGGGGTTTAACTTTTTTGGCGGGACTTATCTAGAAAGATTGCGCTCATGGTTAAGCTTGATTAGGAGGTTATAAAAATAATATTTAATAGGAGCTTTATTAATTGTGTTATTTTACTCATTGGA